TAACTGGTTGACCCTCCTTGGGCAGCAATAACCTCAACCAAACGTTTCCTGTAGTTGCAGATCAGACCTGCACAACGATCTGGAGTCATTTTGGACCACTCCTCTTCACAAAACTGTTTCAGTGTAGCAATATTCTTGGGATGTCTGGTGTGAATCGCTCTCTTAAGGTCATGCCACAGCATTTCAATCGGGTTGAGGTCAGGACTCTGACTGGGCCACTCCAGAAGGCGTATTCTGTGCTGTTGCAGCCATTGTTTTGTTGAATTACTTGTATGCTTTGGGTCATTGTCCTGTTGCATCACCCATCCTCTGCGGAGCTTCAGTTGGCGGACAGATGGTCCTACGTTTTCCTGCAAAATGTCTTGATAAACTCTGGAATTCATTTTCCCATCAATGACAACAATCCGTCCAGGCCCTGAGGCAGCAAAGCAGCCCCAAACCATGATGCTCCCTCCGCCATGTTTCACAGTGGGGATGAAGTTTTGATGTTGGTGTGCTGTGCCTTTTTTTCTCCACACATAGTGTTGTGTGTTCTTCCCAAACAACTCAATCTTGGTTTCATCTGTCCACAGTATATTTTGCCAGTAGTGCTGTGGAACATCCAGGTGCTCTTTTGCAAACTTCAAACGTGCTGCAATATTCTTTTTGGACAGCAATGGCTTCCTCCGTGGTGTCCTCCCATGTACTCCATTCTTGTTTAATGTTTTCCTTATTGTAGATGTGTCAACAAAAATGTTAGCATGTGCCAGAGATTTCTGTAGGTCTTTAGCTGACACTCTGGGATTCTTCTTTACCTAATGCAGCATTCTGCGCTGTGCTCTTGCAGTCATTTTTACAGGACGACCGCGCCTAGGGAGAGTAGCAACAGTGCTAAACTTTCTCCATTTGTAGACAGTCTGTCTTACCGTGGACACATGAATATCAAGGCTTTTGGAAATACTTTTGTAACCCTTTCCAGCGTCATGCAAGTCAACAATTCTTGATCGTAGGTCTTCTGAGAGCTCTTTTCTGCGAGGCATGGTTCACATCAGACAGTGCTTCTTGAAACCAGTAAACCCAAAACAGGTGTGTATTTTTTAAGGGCAGGACAGCTGTCAGCAACACATCCAATATCATCACACTGATTGGAGTCAAGGTTGGCTCACTCCTGGCTCCAATTAGCTCTGGGAGAAGTCATTAAGCTAGGGCCTCACATATTTTTTCCTCCCTGCACTGTGAATGTTTACATGTTATGTGCAATTAAACCATGGCAACATCTAATGTTTGTGTAGTATTATGTTCAGCAGAATGTGTTCTTCTATTGTTGTGACTTAGATGACAATCAGAGCACATTTTACGCCCAATTCATGCAAAACTCCACGTAATCCCAAGGGGTTCACATACTTTTTCTTGCAACTGTATATATGAGGTGAATATACCTGAATAGCAGGAGATCAAATTATACACCTAGTTGGGTTAAGTTGAGTCAGTGGAAAGACACATCTACTCCCTTTCTTTTACTAGACATGGCCATATCTTAGAGTGTATGTCAAGCCAATTTTTTTTTTTGGATAGAGAAAAGAAGTATTAGAATCCCTGTCTTGGTTTCACTGCTATCCAGACTCTGTAAGAGAGCTGTTCCCTCAATTTCTGTCCCGGTGACCATGTTTTACCAGACAGAAAGGAAGGGAAATGTTTGTGTGTTGCTGATGGAGAGTTTGCCTCTCTCCTGGTCTAGTAAAGCATTGTCAGCAAGGCAGTAAGTGGATAGCAGTAATTAAAACAGCAGTGTTGCTGTTGGAGAGTTTTCCTTGCTCCTGGTCTGGTAAAGCATTGTCAGGGAGGCAGTAAGTGGATAGCCGTTAAAATCTGGCGCTGGTCCTAATTCTTCTACACACTATCCAAAAAAAAAAGTTTTGGCTTTACTTTTACTATTTACATGGGCAGCCAACAGGCATGCAGGCAATGGTAGCCCTCCTATCCTTTTATTTGGAAATTTCACAAGAATTAAAATCTTGCTAATTTTTGTGTGGATTTTGACCCAATTAAACTTTGGGTCTTTATTGCTTACTTGGACAAGAGTTGAGAGATTTTCCCACACCCCTATGTGGCCATACCAGCTTGAGCTCAGTATTTACAGTAGAGGGAAGGCAATACAGCATTTCTTAAGTTGGTGCCAACAATAGCTCAGCAGAAAATGTTGTACCTTTTGGGCTTAGTGCCTGTTACAGCTGTGCCAGAATTTATCAAAGATCTCCCAAAGATCTGGGATAACAGCATAGTGCTGGCAAGAGGTTAGAAGGATATAGAATATTGTTTTGAGTGGAGTTGCTTTTTAAATGTCATGGCTGTAAAACAAGTGGATGGAAGACCTCCAAAGTAACCCCTTTTCATCCTTTCAATAACAAAACACAACAAGAATGCAACATTTTAAAAGTCAAATAAAAAACATGTTATACTTACCTGTTCTGTGCAATGGTTTTGCACAGTGCTATCCCGATCCAGTGGGATCCCCTCTGGCACTCTCCGCTACTGCTCTTCTCAATGTTCCACCATAGAAAGCCACTTCTATTGCTCTCTGCATCTATTGGTACACACACACAGTGTTACTTGGCTCTGCCTCCGCTCCCCCCTCACAAGATTTGATTGACAGCAGTCTCTACCTCATTCCCTGTGAGGAGAGAGCAGCGCTGGATCGTAATTGAATTCGGGTAAGTATTTAGGGAGGAGCTGAACATAAATTGTTTTTTTTTTACCTTATTGCAAAGAAATGCATTAAGGTAAAACAATTAAAAACCTTTAGCCTATACAACCAGCCTTTACAACCACTTTAATGATTATGCAACTAGGTGTATAAAGTTCAGGTATTAAGGTTATGTCTGTGAACCCACTGACTTTAGCATGGTTGTGAGCATGTCTAGGTTAATTGCCACCCTAGGCATTCGTTTTTTTTGCTTCCCACCCCATTTGATTGCTAGGAAGCTGGCCCAGCTGCCAGCTTCCTAGCAACCATTGATGATGTTTGACTGTGCGGCATTGGTTGATAAGACACTGGCAACATAACAACCATTGACATGGTACACCCTAGCCATCAGCTTCCTAGCAACTGTTGATGCTGTTTGGTTGTGTGTCATTTGTTGCTAGGATGCTGGCCTCATAACAGCCAATGATATTGTGCAGCCCAGCCACCAGTATTCCAGCAACCAATTCAGTACCCTGCTGTGTTTAATACAGGGCAATGCTACTGAGCTGTAGTCAGGATGAAGTGCTGCTGTAGTCCACTGAGTGCTGCTAAGGTGGTCACCTCAGTTCTCCTTGTTGGCAGCATACCCTTGGTTGCGAAGTTTTCTAGATATTCTACATACTTTGCAGATTAATTCAACTTCGTAAAATCAATTACTAGTTATTAATTTACAAATCTAATGTGAAACTGTGAAAATAATTGTTCTGGTTACCAGAAGTAGTCATTTATATCCGTATGACGTTATCTTCAAGACAACACCAGTGTCAGACCGTTGTCAGGGGCTGTCTGTGTCTTCTGTGTACTGTGCTATTCCTCACCCCCACACTTCAGATCAAATCATTTTGTTTAAGAATTGCTGACCTACACAGCAGACACAGAGAGGCTGCAACCTCCCTGCCACTCACCACATTACGGTAAAAGCCAAAGTAGCACAGCAGCGAGTTAGTGACATTATCCTAGAAGATTGCTACAGTAAGGCCTTTTGTTTCTGAGGAAAACCATTAATGTCTGTATGAGAACATGCCTTGCTCTTCCTGCCAGACTGGCTGTAATGTGTGAACGCACTGCAGCAGTTGCCATGTGAACACTAAACTGGAATCATGACCTTTTATTATCATAAAAATAGCCTTGGAAAGAAAAATTAGATCGTTTGTCTGATCACCAAGATTCGCTGGCTGTACTTTCATTGGGGCCGGTGTGTTGTGTACACCTACTTGGTGTCAGGTAGGAGCAATCTAAATTCTCCTTAGCGTTGTTTGAGCAAGGTGCTGGAAAATGTCCAGTTACAGGTTAGAGTTGGACTATAGAATGTATTGTTCATTTATTATTAACATAAAATAATTATACAATAAATTTGAAATATTTTATATGTAAAGCAAAAAACATTTTTTATTTAGGATAAAGTAGGAAATGGTTGAAAACCATTTTTTCCATGCGTGTCCCAATAAAAATATTTCGGAATACAAGAACTGGGAGGAAATTTCCCAGAGATGAATCCCTCTTAAACAATTGTCACCAAAAACAAGTGTCCCTATTAGAAAATGTCTCATTTTATTCTTGGTCTGGTGATCATTCAATTCTGGATTTTCCAACACTTTCATTCCTGATGAAAATGGTCACAAATAGAGAGAGTGAATCTCCCTAGCAGGGACACATGAAAAACTCACAGAGCTTCTAACCTCTCACCACTCTAACAATCTAAAACAGAAACAACAGTTTTGGCTTGAAATATACTTTTATGGATTGTTCTTTAACCACTTGACCTCTAGAAGGTTTTACCCCCCTTCATGACCAAGGCATTTTTTTCAGTACTGTATCACTTTAACTGGCAAACAGAGCTTTCTTTTTTGTGGTATTTGACCACCACTGGGTTTTTTATTTATTTTTTTTATTATATAAAGGAAAAAAATACCAAAAATGTTGACTTCTGTTAGAACACTTCACAAACAAAATAATCTTTCTACGTACATTTAACCCAAAATGTAGTCTGCTACATTTCTTTGGTAAAAATAACCCAAAATAGTGTTTATTATTTAGTCTCTGTGAAAGTTATAGTGTCTACAAATTATGATTATATATCGTATTTTTCGCTCCATAAGACGCACTTTTTTCCCCCAAAAAAGGGGGGAAAATGTCAGTGCGTCTTATGGAGCTGCCGGTCCGGTATTCCCGCTGCCGCCACAGTGTCAGAATACCAGGCCGGCCGCTCGGCTCTTCTCTGCAGCAGAACCTTACCTGTTCCTCGGTCCAGCGCTGTACAGTCTTCCGGCGCCGGCATCTTTAGTGTGGGCACCCGGCTGTGACAGCCGGGTGCCCACTGCACATGCGGGAGAAGCGCTGGACTTTGTGAATGGTCCATCATCTTTTGGGACACAACAGGTCCCAGAAGACGCTGTACTATTCTGTTACAGTCAGGTGCCCACACTAAAGGGAGGACAACTCTGCGGAAGTGGGAGCGGGTACCTGTCAAATTCAGGTACCCGCTCCCCCTCCCTCCCCAAAGGTCCGCAGTCTCTTGGTCATCCCCTGTACTGGCTGCAGTCTCTGGTCATCCCCTGTACTGGCTGCAGTCTCTGGTCATCCCCTGTACTGTCTGCAGTCTCTGGTCATCCCCTGTACTGTCCGCAGTCTCTGGTCATCTCCTGTACTGTGTCCGCAGTCTCTGGTCATCTCCTGTACTGTGTCCGCAGTCTCTGGTCATCCTCTGTACTGTGTCCGCAGTCTCTGGTCATCCTCTGTACTGTGTCCGCAGTCTCTGGTCATCCCCTGTACTGTGTCCGCAGTCTCTGGTCATTTTCTGTACTGTGTTGCAGTCTCTGGTCATCCCCTGTACTGTGTCCGCAGTCTCTGGTCATCGACTGTACTGTGTCCGCAGTCTCTGGTCATCGACTGTACTGTGTCCGCAGTCTCTGGTCATCGACTGTACTGTGTCCGCAGTCTCTGGTCATCGACTGTACTGTGTCCGCAGTCTCTGGTCATCGACTGTACTGTGTCCGCAGTCTCTGGTCATCGACTGTACTGTGTCCGTAGTCTCTGGTCATCGACTGTACTGTGTCCGCAGTCTCCGGTCATTGACTGTACTGTGTCCGCAGTCTCTGGTCATCCCCTGTACTGTGTCCGCAGTATATGGTCATCTCCTGTACTATGTCTATAGTCTCTGGTCATTTCCTGTACTATGTCTGCAGTCCATTGGTTCATAATATTTTTTTTCTTGTTTTCCTCCTCTAAAACCTAGGTGCTTCTTATGGTTTAAGTGTGTCTTACGGAGCTAAAAATACGGTATATTTGAAAATACATTATTCCTGATGTACTGACTGCCTATCTAATTTCTTGAGGCTTTAAAATGCCAGGACAGTACAAATACCCCCTGAAGTTGTATTTTTTTTTGCCGCAACAGCTATCACATGGTGTAAGGTCACTGTGAATGGCCTGTGTGATCGATCACAATAGTAAACAAGCTGAAATCAATGAATGCCTTTTGTACATTTTGCTTACATGGTATCATGTGATCACTATGATTGGTCATAGCAATCACATGATTCCCTGGCTGCTTAGAGCGGCCAAGTACCAAGCACTGTGTTCTATTGTGTCCACTGGACACAGCGGTCACAGTATCACACTGCTGTGTACCCCAGAGGTGCCACACCAGTGCGCATGAGCAGGGCATTATACAGATATGTTGCTGTGCCTGCTTATGCCGCCAGCCAGCCATAAATATACTATTATTGGTCGGCAAGCGGTTAAGCTTGCTTGGCAGAAAAACACTCTTTACCACTAACTGAATACAAGGAGCTTGAACTTGTAACACCTGAACTATAAACCCATGGGAAATATGTGCTGTACACCATTCTGATTACCATCTGCATTTTGCAGTAGTAATTGTTAATCCACTTAGGAAAAAAATTTCTAAGCTTCAATCGTGACTGTGCATGATCACATTCCCTACTGTGGCTTCATTTTTCTGTTTTCAGTTGACAAAAGTAGAGTCCCAACATGGTCTACTGTTGGGAGACAAGGGCAAAAAGTAACTTGCGTTTTCTCCAAACTTCATGTAGCATTAAATCCACTTTCTGTAAAATAGCAAACATGTTAGAACATCTACAATAGCTTTTTGAAGTTTCAAAAGGTACATACCAAAGTACAAGAGTAAACACATCCAGTGTGATTGAGATATGGGAGCCTATGAGTGATGTCATGGCTCCTGAATTTCCCAGTTGTTCCCAAGCATTCCCCCTCTCCCCTGCAGCTGCCGCTGAACAACACAGAGTATCATATGACCAGAGCGGACTAAAAAAAGTGTGTGTGTGTGTGTATGTATATGTATGTGTGTGTATATATGTATATATATATATATATATATATATATATATATATTTTTTTTTTTTTTTTTTTTTTACAAAGTTTAGGGGGTATAGGTAGCAGGAGGGAGAAGAAGACATTGTTAAGACTAGTTAGTGTTAGGCTGGAATTCTGCTTTAAGTAGTGGACTGTATTAATTTATTTTTGGAGAAAAGGATATTGATTTGTGTCTCTTTCATAACTCTGTCAAACATACGCCATTTTGCATTTATATTTTTTTTATGGTAAATATGATTTTGCTATCTGTAATGGGCTTATTCACCAAGGCAATGCAATAAGAGATGCTTTCTGAATGATGTCCTTATAATGTTATCATTTTTCTTTGCTCTGTGTTATGGATGACACCCGTAAATATGTTTCCTTACGCTGCATAACATAAATCACAATATTTCCAAGCCATCTTACTATTGATTAGGAAATAAAAACAATATGAGGGGAAATTAACTTTGTTTGTTCATTAGTTAAGCCCAGGACAGATTGTTTCATTATGTGAGCATGCTTATTATGACAAATACACACCATAATTACACATGACTGCATTGATTAGTATTTATGAGTAAAACAACAAATCCTGCATTCAGAACCATTTTAATAGTAAACAAAGTAAATGATGAAGCAGCTTGTGATCCCCCCCATCTGTCAGATAAACCTTGGAGTTCGGTCCCGAAATTTCCCCCTGCAATCTCTTACCTTATTCTAACTGTGAGGACCGGAGATGCACCACTTGCCCCAGAGTATTATGGGTCTTGTTGTCTTCCTGACCTCTACCAGTTCTTTCACTGCTGAGATTATTCAGATGTAGGCCACTGACCTCATTCAGCAATTTATTTGCCATCGGGACATAATATAGGAATATCTCTTCTAAATGATCCTCTTCATGCCACTTGTGCAGCTGTCCTGACAGAGTCTTATTTTCTAATTTGCTTCCAGCACACTGTTAGTGGGGTTTTTCTGTGCGGTTTAATCCATCTTAGTTCTAGTGAGATTAGAATGTTAGGGGAATATGCAATGAAAGACAGAACGCTTCACTGTTATACAAAGACGTGTATTTTACAGCCGTAATCATTTGCATGTGTGGAAAGTTGTAGAACATGAATTTGGATGCATTCAGCTAGAAATGTTGCCAAAAATGCTTTCTTCTTGGAAACCCAGAAGTAACTTAAGTCTGAGGTTTTTTTTTGTGTGTGTCTAGTGATATTTTTGTTTCGTATAAAGTTCACTAAATGGATATGTGATAATGGTTTCCATTTTTTTTTTTTATTTATGAAACGCTTATTTGTATAGTGTACATTGTGTCCTTGTTTGTAAATGTATTCATTAGTTGGTCGATTTAGGGTGCTCAAAAATGGACACAATTCCACGGTCCACCCAGCTTAAACCATGGCGTCCATCTGGTTTAAGCTGGGTGGATCATGAGTACCACAGTGCTTGTAAGGAGCCTTACCCCCAGGGAATCGGGGCAAGGGTCCTTTTTCTTCAGAGGAGGACCATGTGTTGCATATTGTGAACTTTTGTGTACTCATTTTTTTTATTGTACTTGTTTACCCCCGTTTGTATTGTATCTGTTTTATTTACCTTTTTAAAGCATCACTTACAAAATCAGGCTTTGGAAAGGTTAACAGATGATCAGAAGCATTGACTATAGCAAGTAAAGCTTCTATGTATGTATGTATTGAGCTATCTATTTAAAGCAGGCACCAGTTTTGAGGTACTTGACAGAGTTTACTCCTTAAAGTGCTAAATGTGGAACAAACAAATTAGGACATAGCCGAAAAAACCCCACACGGCTTTGCCTGTTCCTTAAGACAAAAATACACGGCTCAAATGCAAGCTTGTTCCTGCATTCTAGCCAAAATGTGAATCATGGTGGATCTGTGTGTGGACACTTCCCAACTCAACAAACTTCAACTGGGAAAGGATCTGGATGAAAAGAAAGTTGGCCAAACTGTGAAAGTGTCCAATCAGCATCCTGTGTCCAATTCAAGACATTGAATACCTGACAGGGTAGATTCATCTATCCATGCTGTTTAGTGTGGATGGGGGGGGGGAAATCTATGTATTTCTCTTGAATGGCCAGCTTTAGTTCCACGTGAGACTTCTGAACAGGGCGAGTGAGCCATTGTGCTTCTGTACACATGGCATCTGCTGTGCCTAAGCCCTTTTTACCCAGACACCTCCTGTATTCTGCTTTCACCTGCTCCCCCATTCCCCGTTGCAACCAGTCACTTAAGCCGGCCATAGATGAATCTGATCTCAGCCAGGTCAACAGGGACCAGAGGTTATAGCGGCCAGCAGTCTTCAGGGGAGAAGGCTCTCTGCTGGCAGAACACAATAGCGCTGCGGGAGGGATTCCTCCATCAACACTTAATGTGTTGATAGGGTAATCAAGTAAAAGAAAAAGAAAATCACATCATATATGGCTTCCTTAAAGGATCACCTCTTTTAATACACTTCTACATTTCTGTACATTTTTTTCTCCGTTCGCATCCTAGCCTCCTGTATGGTATGTGATGATGCTTTGGTTTCTGCCCTCCCATTGGCACTTTGGGCAGGGGAGGTGAGCACTGGAGCAAGGAATGAAGTAAGTGAAAGAAGCTGTTGTACAGTCCAAGGTTTTTACAATCCCTAAGACATAATGAGCATTTAACCTTTGCAGTGTGATGGTGCAAGGTAGATTTTTTTGTTTTTTTTCCTGGAGTTGGGCTTTAAAGCACTGCACAAATGCAGGATTATAAATGGTGATCTATAAACAGAAAATCATCAGTTTTACTTCCTCTGCATTTCACATTTGCCATAACCTTGTCTTGTCTTCAAAGCTCATAAGAAGCTAACCATAAGCAATTTTTACCCAGCCAGTTGCCTTTATATTTTTTGTATATTTTTCTTTCTGATCTTCATATTACTAATCTATTCTGTACAGGTCATTTTCATTAACTTATTTTTGGCGCAGAAAAAAAAACATTTGGCTTCTTGAAAAAAACACTTATCAATCACGGTCACTTTGCAGTTCTCTGCTGCTTACTATAAGAAGATTACAGCACAAAGTGCTAGCTCTTTGTCTTGTTCACGTCTGTTCTTGTTAGAATGTGTTTAAATGCAGATATTAGTGATTACAGTCCCCTTCATGTTTGGCACCTTCATCTTACATTCACATTGTAGGACACAACTTTGGAGATAAAACGTATGTCAAAAGATTAGTACGGTACCTAGAATTCTGTCTGCAACATAGCCTATGCAAATTAATTATACTTCATTTTATTCTATCATTTTATACTCCTCTTGCAAGAAGCTGTTGAGAATAAAAATAATCTTGTAGACCATATCTATGGATGTTCAATGCTGGGACTTATGGATTCTTTAATAGCTACACTATTATTCAGATCCAGACCGAGACAATAAATAG